ATATTTTTAAGCTAAATAATATTTTATTTTTGATATTAAAAATAAAAGTAAAAACGAAATATGAAATATAACAATTTTGTATTTCTTAATAATTGAAAATTTTAATTTAAATTTTTTTTAAATATTTCTAAACGAAATATTAAATCTAATGATTTTTTTATTTCTTTCGAATTATTCGTCTATTATCTTTTTTTCTTTTGTTTTTTCTTTCCGATGATGAAATTCAAATTTCATACGTATCCAAAGAGAAAGAAAAACTTTCGTCGGAATTATTCGCAGGTTTTTTTTAACGAGATCATCGTACCGTGTTTCCTCGTCGGCCGTATGAAATCTCTCTATCTCTCTCTCCTTCTCTCTCTCTTTTTCTCTCTCTATGCCAACGTAGAGAGAATTTCCTACGAGGGATGCATTGTTTCGCTGAAGGGCGATCTCGAAGCTCGAGAACTTGAATGCATTTTTCTTTTCTTTCCTTTTTCTTCTTTCTTGCTTCATTTTTTTTTTTGTTTTTTCTTTTTTTTTTCTTTACATATATACCGCAACCATTCTCTCGTTACTCAAATTAACGAGAGTTTCGGTGCCCACTGACTTACTTTGATTCTTCTAACGAGTTGAAATTTCTTTGACTCAAAAAAAAAAAAAAAGGAATATCACGTTTCTAACTGAGAGATTTATGATATCATATAGACTTAAGAACCCCATCGTTTTTACACATTTTTTATTTTATGTATGTGAAAGTAAAAAAAAATAAGGAAAAAAATTTTAGGAGAAGAAAATTGGTACATGTTAAAAAGTTTTATTTATTATTTTTATCTACAAACGATTTTTATTTGGTACACGATGATAGGGTAGGAATAGAGTAGAATATCAAAACCAAGTCTCGATGGAAAAATGAATGACTTCATCGAATTCAATTTTCCCGCTTGACGAATAAAATCGAACGGAAATATAGAACATCAAACATTTCTTCGCTACCCGATCGATAGCTAAACTTCGTAGAGATCTTCCTTATCGATTCTTCCATATATCGTTCATCTACCTTACCTTCCTGGTTGAAATTCAGTTTGTTCATTTTATCATATGAGAAGTAAATTCGATTTGAATTCAATAAGATTCTATTTTCGATCCTTATTCTCTTTCGATAGTTTTCAATTCGATACACCAGAGTCGCTCCTTTTTTCTTTTCTTTTCTTTTTTTTTCTCCTTATCATACACTTTTACGATCGTTTATGAGAAATCTTTTTTTTTTGTTTTTCTTTTAATTATCATATATTATCAATTAAAAAATGGTTTTCTCTTCTCTTTTTTCTTTTTTTTGTTTTCTTTTTCTTCTTTTTTTTTCGACAAAATAACAATCTTCGTATGAATTATGATCGTGACGTAAATTCCCATTTAATTACGTCTAACGCGTTTACCAACGTGCCGGATTCATTAATTCGAAAGACGAGGCGATGAAATTTCTCGTATTTTTTTTCGAATTCTACCGCGTCGAGTTTCTCTGCGCTGTCGTAGGGTTAAAATAAAACTACGTTATTTATTGAATAACTAAGACGGTATTTTAATTTTCGTTGTTTTATCTAAAGAACCATAATTAAAATAGAATAAACTACTAGCTTATAATTAAAATAGGTAATAGAGAATAATAAAAAAAATGTACAAAACTCGTAATTCTAATTTTTTCTATTACGATCACTACTAGCATTGATTTTTTTTCCCCGTTTTAACGAAATCTTTCTTTTTGTGTATGTTTCAGGTAAGTTTTTCTCGAGATGGTGTAACACTACGGAAGAGCTTGTCGAAAAGATGTAATCGAAACAAATAAAAAATTAACCTCCTCCGAGTTTGCGTAAGTCTGATATCGAATAGCCCAAGGTCATCTTTGTCGTAAAAAAAAAAAATTAAAGAGAGGATTAATCAAGTCCTTAGCGTTGTTTCTTTCAGGATTGCAAACACAAGATTTTATCGTGTAACAATAAAATTAAATGTTAATTTAATAAACAAAGAAAAAGTTTAAGTACTCTCGTTTTATTAATTGATTCGAAAAAGTTGCTGTTCGCAAAGTATCGCGACGAAGATAGAACGAATATTTGCTGAATTAAATCTAATTCGCTAACTCGTGCATTTTTATTCCATTTACGAGTTAATACAACGTAATATTCTCCTTGAGTTATCATTTTTTTTTTAAATTATAATTTCGAGTGCCAAATAGTCAGTCGGACACGTTAGCAAAGCTAATTCACAAATCCACCTCTAATTGAATTTTTGTCGGCAAATAGTATTCGCTAAAAAATTGTTCTATTTGGTTTAAAACGATATTCTTATATTTGTCAAAAGTATTAAATAAGATTTTGATGATCTAAGTTTTATATAATCATGTAATATTTTCTATATTGATGGATTTATTTAGGTTAAATACGTGTACATTTAGAATATTATCGAGTGTCGCGAATATTACAGATCGAAAGTGTAATCATTCGGTGAATTACATGTCATATCTAGGACTATGTAAATGAAAATGGACAGCTCGCAAATACGAAGGGATCAATCTATTTGCCGAAAGGATTGAAACCGACATTATTAACGTCCTGTTCTACCTTTCTACCATGTTCTACCTTTTTGATAATAACTCAACCCACAATTTGTGTCGAAAAAAATAAAACGAAAACTTCCATCGTAAGTTTAATTATATTTGTCTTCTTAAAAAAAAAAAAAAAAAATAGAAACATGAGTCTTTTTTTTCTTTTCTTTGCTTTTTTTTTTAATATTTTTATTTTCACATATTTTGTTTCTTTTTGGTACGAGACTGAATTCAAAAATATTTACTTTTCTTACTGTATTTGCTAAAAACCATAAACGATTCGATTGCACACATTTTAAAGGAAATAATCTTCGATTTGGATTTTCGGATTTTCATTTTACGTAATTGACAATAATACGACAACATTTATAAGTTCGACAATATATTTTTTTTTCTATTATTTTTTTCCTTCCCTCTTTTTTTTCTATGTTTTAAATAAAACGAAATTTTTATTTTCCCATTTCGTTTTGTCGAAATTCTTTTCGATCTTAGTCCAGTTAGAAAACAAGTTTAGAACAACACTCTTAATATTTCCATAAAAAATGGGGAAAAGAAAAGATGGGTTAATGTAAAAATGCCTAATTGTGAGTTCGACGCAGTAGCGTATATATCATAATTTTAGCTCGTAAAAACAATATCCTTGAAATGATCGCAACACGCCAAGGATATCATTAAAATTCGAAGAATTCCTTTTTTCTTATTTTAAAATTGAGTTTTTCGTATCGTCGATGTAAAAAAAAAAAAAAAAAGAAAAAAGAAGGAAAAAGAAACACAGCTGAGAAAACTCCGTAAATGACTGACATCGAGTATTATTCTATGCAATGTTGTTTAATTATTTTTTCTTTTTCTTCTTTTTTTCCATCGCTAATCGTAACAAATCTTTATCACGGTTCATTTATTTGTTTTCATATCGTTGAAATAACGATAGTACCTGTCATTAATATTTATAACGAGTCGTATATATATATTAAAAAATACATATACAAAATATGGGCAAACAATGTTTTAATAAAAAAAAAAGCAACGAAAAGAAAGAGAAAGAGAGAGAGAGAGCGAGAGAGAAAAAGAAAATTTTTCGTGCATCAATTCGCGTACTCCCTTTCTTTTTCCCTTGGTTTATATTTTTTTTTCTTTTTTTCTTTTTTGAGGGTTTTTTTTCTTTCTTTGTTCCACTCTTTCTTACCGGTTGCACCCACACACGCGCGAAAGAAAACGTCGGCGCGCTGCGGTCGGAGTTTGCGCGTCGCAAACACGTCGCGTGACTGAAAGTGCGTCGTCCACGTTTACATTGCTAGTTCTTCTCGATTCACGTGTACGTAAATATGTGCGGCAAGAACCAACCAACCAACCATCGGTTTATTTGACACTGTATTTTGTTCAATTTTTCTATCTATTTCATCCTATTCCTTTCTTTCCTTCTTTCATCCTCTCTCTGTCAGTTTCTCACTCACTCTCTCACTTCTGTTTTTTTTTTTTAATCTTTTTTCTAATACTATGATTTTTTTTTTTTTTTAATTATCTAACATAACTTAAAAAATCACAGCTATCAATTATTTTATCGCAAATTTTTTCTTTTCTTTTTTCGTTCTGTTATTCGAGAAATATTTCGAAAACGTCACGTGAAATTACCACAGATCATCAAATTAGGAAAATAATTTGGTTAAATATTCCGAAACTGTGACGAAACGAGTGTCGAATTTCTCGAGTATATTATTGGCTACGAGTTTTTTTTTATTCTTCGGTAAAAAATACAAATTTCGTAAAAAAAAAAAAAAAAGAGAAAATAACGTTCACGTAGTATTTTACAATATTTAACGGTTTCGAAGTGTTGCTACGAAATGGATCAAGATTTTACGGTCACTCGGTAAAACTCGACTGCATCGTAACCATTACCTACTAAAAATAGTACGTTCGTGTATTACTTCTACAATACATACGTAGGTATTGACTCTTCGGACTTTATTTAACCCTCTCTTTCCGTTTTTCATACCTAATACAATTTTACTTCCTTCTTCGTCCTTTTCTTAACCCACTTTAGTCGATATTTAAAATGTTCACAATCCTAGACGATTACTATCATTATTATCTTGCGTTTTCTTTTTTCTTATTTAAATTTCGTTTCTCGTTTCAAAAAGAACAAAAAGACGTAAAACGAAAAAAAAGGAAAAATATTTTTTGTAAGGAAAAAAATTATTTTATCATTCGTTCTTCCAATGATATCATTTATTTGTATTTTTTTTTTCTTCATTATTTTCTTTTCTTTTCTATTATCTAAATCGTAAAAAAAAAAAAAAAAAAAGAAAAGAAACTAATAAAATAAAAATTTCTACGAAGAAAATGATTCCTTCCTTTTATTGAAATAATTTTCATCGCTTATTCTTATACCGTCATCCTATTTAACAAATAAAAAAGAATTATCGAACGTCAATTGTATTCACGTTACACGGGTGACGATAAACTAGAGAGGAAGGTCAAAAGCAAACGCATCTTTCGCTAGGCCACGTAACACGCACGCTCGTCATTTTATCAAACGCTCGTTAGGATCATTGAAAATTCAGTGTTGATGTCGGGACGGTTATTTCATTGAGCGTGTACCAAGTGACGCGGATAAATTCGCAGCGAATGAGATATGCATGAGCGTGCTCCTCTCGAAAGATGATTGAGTCCGATCACGTCTATCTCTCTCTCACTCTCACTCACTCACTCACTCACTCACTCGTTCTCGCACTCTCATAATAAATTTATCATAAGTTAGAAGAACATAACTCCGTTGGAACGTTCCTTTTTACCCGATCGTACAATGAATTCCCTTGAAATCATTTTTTTTTTTAAATATATCTTTTATATTTCAAAATTCTTTCACGAGTTATCTTATTTCGTTTTAATATTCGATATAATTCGATACATTCGATATCAGTTAATCACTTTCATCCTCATATTGATGTTTTCAACCAATTCATATCCTACATTAAAATTCTGTCTAAATTCATTATAAAATTGTCAAAGTTATTATAATTTATTTGGAAATTTTTATTTATAGCTAATTCATTGTTTTATTCTTTATAAATATCTTTATTTATATTTTTATTACTTATTAACTTTTTCTGTGTATTTTCTTTCTACTCTTTAATTTTTTTTCTTATGTAACAATGAGTTTATCTCGTCAATAAGAAATAAAATAAAAAATAATCGATTTCATTTAGTGTTTATTTCTTTTTTTTAATTGTCCAATTTTCTATTTTTTTTTCTTTTTCAAAATCTTCGAAATCTTTATATTTCTCGGATCCAATTTTTGTACCATTAAGTCGTTTATTTCACATATATCTCGACTCCCAGCATTATAAGAATCATCGTTGAATTGTAGAAAAAGAGAGAGGAGGAGAAGAAGAAAGAAAAAAAAAAAGAAAAAGAAAAAAAAGCCTAGGCATAACAGGTTGGTTTTGGATGGTTTCATTTAACGAGAAAGGTGGTCTTAAGTGGTTTTCCTTAGAAAGCAAAGTTAAAAAGCATTAGTCGTAGAAAAGTCGTTGAAATACGTTGTTACGTACTTATTTTTCTTTTCTTTTCTTTTTTTCTTTCTTTTTTTATTTTTTATTTTCCTTTAACCTTTTATAAGGGTAAGACGAAAACGTTAAACCATAACCGATATATGTAATCGTTTAGGAACACCAAGTATTTTCTTTCGTCCTATATTTCAAACGTTCCCGCCGCAATTTACGATTCCTACGGTCGCGTGGAGGAGGAGGGACGTACACATTTTTACCACCAAGGCACTTGATCCCGTTTCTCTCGCGAAGGAGGATCATAAAATCTCTACGAAGCCGGCAGTAATAATCCAGTGAGACTCGTGATTTTCTCGCGAACAAAGGATGGTGGAACGGTCGGTCGGTCGGTCGGTCGGTCGGTCGGTCGTTTCGTTTATCGGCAAAACGAGAGGAAAACTCAACGGCACGTTCCTTCGTGTCTACTTGAGCGTATTTCGAGTGTACGACGATATTCATTGAAGAAAGTACGGGATTGGAGTTTCGAGAAAAAAAAGAGAAAAAAAAGAAGAAAAAGAAAAAAAAACAGAAGGAGAAGTCCAATCTTCTTAATAGACCTCTACACCTGCCGATCACCGGGATTATTATTTTTTATTTTTTTTATTTTTCCTATTCACCTTTTATAACTGGAATCTATATACCCTACCACGAAATTTGAACAATTCAAATTACGAAAAAGAACGTATTTCGTTTGACGAATTGTTGGTTGAAATTAAAAATAAAAAAATAAAAAAAAATACAGATCAAAAAGTAGGAAATCGTATTCGTAATTCGTTGATCGTGTTTTTTGTATTTGCTTTCTTTTTTTCTTTTTTTCAAACATCGATATTGCGCAGAATCTCGAAAATTTTGCCGTTGAAATAATTACAACGAGCTTGAAATTTTTCTTGGTTTTTTTTTTCTTTTTTTTTCCTCGTATTATTTTTTGCATATATACACCGATACCCGTTTATTAGTCATTCGATAGAGTTGGTGCGAATAGTTTGCACGAGGTGTTGTCCGGTACCTGCTGATACCGTCACCGTTCACTTTACGTGCTAATTGACGAGGAAAAAAAAGAAAAAAAAAGGAAAAAAAAATAGAAGTTAACACAAACGTTCGATTATAAGAGAAATAGAGGCGCCTTAACGGCGTATCACTCGTGAAAATGTTCCTGATCGATTTCAATATATATATATATATATATGTATTCTTGAATTTCGTTTTAATTAGAAAAGAATAATTTTACATATATGTATTTAGTATATAATTACTCATAGGATCGTTAGAATGAGAGAGATAACCGAAACGATAGAACAAGATAAGAAATGTGACGTATAGGATGACGTCACACGTTTACCGATTATACATATATATGTATATATATATATATATATATATATGCATACCACTTAATGTTTAACGGGCGGGCCGCGTGCGTTTAAACGAGAGACGCTTTCGCGATAACCCAGTTTTCTTCGATCCATCGAGATTTCTCCACTTTTATATTAACCTAACTTCGTTAAAACGTCGTTATGTTTCGGTAATAATTTCTATCATCAATATTAAATTTAATCATCCAATTAATACAGGTATTACTTATTAATATCATAAACCGGTTGAACGATCTTTTTCAGACAAAAGATATACATTTCATTATTGAATGTAGACAATAGTTAATTTGGCGCCTAATAATTAGAACAACAAGAAAAAAAAAGGTTACAATGACTTATAATTACTATTGCAAAGTCGAGTAAAGAAAAGAAAAAAAAATAACGTTGAATGTAGATTTTTCATTGAGAATGAAAAAAAAAGGTAGTTATTTTACCTGTCGTTATAGTCGTTATACGTTTAGTGTTAACATCGATTGGTCAACTCTTTAATAATTTAACACTGTACCGATCGATTGGTCAAAGAAGTTAAATATTCGATTTATAGCCACGAACTATTACCAACACTCGTTGTTTGAAATTATCGAAATTTTTGTTTAAAGAACGACATGAAAGAAATGTTATGTATTATTCTCCTTGTGTTCTATATACATAAAATTTGTATATAAAAAAAAAAAAACGTTTATTTGAATGGGGGTGGCGATAGATCGAACTTTTATACGAAACCAGTTTTTCATTTTTTATCTATTCTCAAAACTTTTTGTTCTTCCTTTTCTTCTCTTGAGATTTTTACTCTTTTTTTTTCTTTTTCCTCGTCTCATTTTTTTTTTTGTAACTCGAACCAGTGGTAGTAGATATATCCAGAAAACAACACAGTATTTCCACGTTTTCTCTCGGTTGATGGAACGTGCATTTTCCGCGTATAGCAGCTCGTCATGATTTCACCTGCGGTCTGTTCTCGAACAATAAATACTGTTTTTCAAGAAGCTCCAATCCGAGACAAGCGAGATTGAATAGCCTTTGTGTATGGCTATCCTTCATACTGACGCATTATTTAACGTTTCATATTCTACCGGATTATTAGCTCTCGTCATAGACAAGAATTTCACGCTGTGACGTTAAGTCGATACGTTTATTACGATATATACGCCTTTATCCTTCCTTTAACATATACGCGATTTATTTTCCTTTTTTTTTCACCTTGTTTTCCTTTTTTCTCTTTTTTCGTTTCCATAGATAAGGAAAAAAACTTTTCCTTTGTACCATCATACATGATATTTCATTAACGCGTTTGCTAGTTGATTGTATGAAAAATAGGTCTTCCAACAATTTTCCTTTATTATAATCATAAGTTGTAAACATCTTCAAATAGATTCTCTTATTTAAACTATTATACTTTTGTTTGTTTGTTTTTTTACTTGCAAAATATAATAACTATAAGTATAATAATAATATTTTATATAATTTATATATATATATTATTGTATATATTTTATACATATATAATAATTATATTTATTATATTATAAATTATTTATATATTATTAATTTATTATAATTTATTAAATTATTAAAATATTATATATTATGTTATATATTTTATATATATTTATAAATATATTATAATTTATTAATAACTAAAAGTATAATAATATTTTTGATTAAAATATTATTCTTTTCGTATTTGTAATCTTTCTTTTCTTTTATGTGTATTGGTGAAACGCTTGATAATATTTATCTCATTTGATTTTGTTTTTCCTCTTTTCGATTTTTCTTATTTTCGAAAGCACTTCTTATTGAAAGGCCCCATAAGTAGAGAAAACAAAGTGACAGTAATCTTTATGTCTTTTTCGATACATCAATCTTCTTGTATTTCACATACGCGTATATATATGTATATATATACATCCTCTTCGGTTCTATCTCTTGGTAAACACCCTTGAGACAAAATCGATACTTAACAACACGTTCTCACGTGATTTCCAATTCGCCTAAATCCCCTGATTATCCTCCCGACTTCGTCATTTCAATTACGTACATTACGGTGCTGAATTATCAACGTTAACGATCATTTAACTGTTAAAGTCAATCATCATCTTCATTTTATTTTTATGATTTGTTAAATTCTTTTAAATGAAATAACACCGCATTCATTTCTCGACACATTTATCCTTCTCTATTTCCATCGATTTTTTTAATTTAACAAAGCTTAATAAAGTACTACGCACAAAATTGTCGGAAAAAAATTTAAAAAAGGAAATATCAATTTTTCGTTTTACATTCACATTGATTTGTAATATTTAATTATTCTATATCATCGAATAGAATATATAAAATTTAAAAAAAAGATTGCTCTTCATTTTTCGATATGAGTTATCATTGCAATTATTTTTATACTATATATAGGGTATCCCAAAAGTCACTTTATGAAAAATACGAAATTTTTGTTTTGTAATTGTTAAAAATAACAGCATTGCGAACTTATACTTTTTTTTAACAACACTGTAATTGGAAATTCATATTTCATAACAAAAAAAAAAAAAAGAAAAAGAAATATTTTGATGATTATTAATCAATCTAATTTTATGCTTTTACATGCTTTGTTTTTATTTTTCTCGATAGAGCAGCTACGCGACATCCTGTATATTATAATCGCCGGGGATGGGGGTGGGGGGTTGTAAAGGGGATGCACAATTTTTCCATTCGATGTTTCATCTTTTCACGAGATAAGTTCTCAACCGTATATTACTTTTTTCCCTATCTTTCTCTATCCCTACGAAGGCTATAGTTCGGGGAATTTCCGTGGAAATTTTTGTGTGTGTGTAAAAATCAGTGTCACGAATTCTCGTAGATATCTTCAATTCGATTTTCACGTCGTCTTTTGAATTGACACCGAAAGCTTCTTCTTGTCCGTTCGTCGTCACTAGGAGAGCAAAGTGCATTGTCACCGAGCCATAATCACGCTCAGCTTTTAAAATCCGTCGTCGTGGATCATTTTGAAAGCCACCGTGTGTACCGAACGTTGTTATTCTTCTTTTTCTTCTTTTTTTTTCTTCTTCTCTTTCTCTCTTCCCTTTTTTTCTTTACGACGAAAGGTAGAAATAAATATAAAGGAAAGAAAAGAGAGAGAGAGAGAGAGAGAGAGAGAGAGAAAAAAAGAAATTAACGGGGCTTCGCATTCTACGTCACATCGTCGTTGTTACGACGAGCTTTTCTTTCTCTTTCTTTCTTTCTTTCTTTTCTCACTTTTCTCACGTTTCTCACGTTTCACACTTTTCACATATAACATAAGAATTTGTCGACATTTTTCAGTTGCAATATAAAATATATATATCACTAGATAAAATCTATCGCCAAGCTACTTCTTCCTTTTATTTTATTTTTTTTTGAAACTATACGAGGAAAAGATTGTAAAATTGAGAATGAAACTAATGATGAAGAAAAATAAGAACATTATTTTTATCGATATTATTTTATTTATTAAAGGGCACCACTAGTGTTAAATTTGTAATTTGTTTCTATTGTGAAAAATACAATTCTTTTTTTGTATATTTCGATAGTCTATACCTGTAAAAATAACATACTAAAGTTTCAAGTGCATATCTCAATAAGTTTTTGAGTTAAAGCCATCTAATATTGTTTGATTTATAATAATGAAATTATCCCTAGTAGCACAAAATATTGAAAAATATTGAATACATGTGTATTTAATATTAAAAAGAGATTTTTTTGTGCTAAAGAGATTTAATGTCCTTTTAATATTAAATACACATGTATTCAATATTTTTCAATATTTTGTGCTACTAGGATCAGTAACTTAAACTTTAAACGCATTTTTCCCGAAACTACATTTTTCAAAATTTGTTGCAATTAAAACTCGAAGACAAATCATCCAATCGATTTGATTCTTGTTACAGCTTCTTTTATATATATTTCTACATACCATAAACCTCCAGTTTTCCGATAAAATAAAAAATGTAATTTTGGCAGGCCAAAATTCATTAAATTTTCGCGTGAAATTTCAAACATTTTTTTAAAGCTTTGCCATTTTGTTAAATTTCAATTGTTCGTTTCGATCGATGTTCATAGTGCGAAAAATTCCTTCTAGTTTAAAAAACTTTTTGGTTTTTTTAATTTCATGCACTGTGAAATTCGCTATAACTGCAATACTGGGGGGACTTCTTTTTTTTGGGGGCTTGGGAAATTGCGAATAACTCGCCTAATTTTCAATATTTTGGTCCAAAATTTTTGTCATATATTCATTACATATCCACGAATATCTCCTTAAAATATTAAAACATTCCATGCAATAGTTTTCTTTAAAAAATTCCGAAAATCCCTTTTTTTCAAGTGGTCACACCAGTGGTGCCCCTTTAAACAATTATAATCAAGAATTATTTTTTCGTCATAGTCACGAATTCTCAAGCTTGAAATTTTGTAATCAATAACCATATTGACGTACAGGACACACACACATACACTTCCCCTTTCTCTCTCTTTCTCTCTCTTTCCATTCATATAATGATCAAATTTTAATCTATCGGACATTGTGAATCAAATTTATTAATACGCGAATAATTAATATCTCATTTAAATTCATTATCCAACGATCCGGAATAATATATAATAATTCCAATTATATCTAATAATTATTTTGACACATTACTTTAAAGGGTATTTATTTTAAAGAAGAAGAAGAAAAAGAAATCGTGGCTATAAGTTATGTCTAATCTTTCAAGCTATTATTACGCAGTTATTACGCGAGAGAGGATAATTACTCGAGATCGATGGGCGATAAGTCAAAGAAGGCCGTGGTTTGATTTATCCGTAAACAGAAAAATGCGTTGAGAGAACAAGTGATAGAAAATGTACGTTGTTAGTTGGATTTTGTTGGTGAACGAAAGTTATTTCTCGGAAAAGGAAGAATGTTACTTGGAAGATTGATCGATTTTCGATTAAAATTATACGTGATTAAGAAAAAAGGAAATAGCAAAAGAAGAAGAAGAAGAGAAAGAAAAAGAGGAAGAGGAAGAGGAAGTGGAAATGGAAGAAAAGAAAAGATAAAAATGATAAAAACAAATCTAATGGGTTAGATTGTAAGAAGAAAAATTAGTTCTTCGTGATCGTTGAACGATTACGTTGACAATGATAGCCTTATGGTTCCTCATTTGGACGATAACAAGATCGAAAGATATCGATATCAGCGGTAGTCGAAATTCTCGAAGTGACTCTGTTATTAAAGATGTTCGTGATCGTGCAGATTCTAGAAGAAACTCAAGGGATGTTACTGTTATCGGTTTGCCGATTGTCGATAGACGGAAACCACGTCTTAGACGACACTCGCGTCGTTTTTACATCGATCGAGCGAAAAGGTAACCGAGAAACACGTCAAATCTATTTCATTTTTTATAATAATAATAATAATAATATATATATATATATATATATATATATATATAAATATGATATGTATGCACAGCATGAAACGAAAATATTCAGCAAAATTGTTGGAACGAAGTTTTCTTACGTAGAAAAGAAACACTTTGTATCAATAATCAATAATACTTTGTTTTTTCAAATTCGAAATCTTTCAAGTTAAATTTTATTATTAACGTATGTCGATACATATATATAATATATTTATTTTTATTTACTGAAATTAATCCAAGATAATAATTACATCATGTTCAAATACGTTATCGTGTCCACTGTTGATTTTACGTTGTATCGTACATATATATGTTAAATACCCTTAAATGGATTACCATATTCACAACCATAAATAAGGGTATTACACCAACAATTTTGATACCTATTTAAAACTCAATAAGATTACGAGCTGCTGTGGTCTCTATTCAAGCAAAGCATGAATATTTATAATATTTTATGTTTTAAAATGTTTACGATAATTTTAGAAAATAAACATAATTAAATTATGTTACGATCATACTTAAAATTTGTATAATTCAGAAACTATTTTCGGATCAACGTTAATATAATTTATTTTTCTTCTATATTAATCTATACTTAGAATTTTGAAACATATTTTTGCTACACCCACCATACTTTTAAATTACCATGTCTCTATATTTACGTAAATATGTATATACGTATCCATTTTTATTTAATCTTTATATTTCGATCTCACGTATTTTGAATAATTATCTATACTAGAAAATAAGCATATTTCGTGTTATTAAAAAAACAAAACTTACTTTGTTAAAAGTTTCTCGAACTGATTAGGTATAATCATCGAGAGTTTAATTTCTAAAACACAGAAAAGAAAGAGAAGTAAATGATAGAGAAGGAAAACGTTTAAACTTTTCCTCAAAATCTCAATGGATTATTTGAAAGTCTTGGAAAGTTTGAATACCGAAAGTAGGATTTGTTACTTTACACAATGGCTTTTAATACAACGTTGAAAGTAAGTACGGTTCTATTCAATAATTTCTAATGCTTTAACGCTTTTCGTAAATCTTAAGTCAAAGCGTTTGTCCAATAGAAAACGAAGTGCAGTATACTCAATTGTATTTATAGAATTTTGATTCAGTACGAAGATAGAGGTGGTATGCGCACGTGGCTACAGCACCTCGTAGAAAGCTTTTAAAGCTGACATCGGGCTAGAAATAGACGTGGCAGCATACGCGGTATGGACAAGGTCTACGATTAGAAAAGAATACATATAGATATATATATATTTGTTGTCTCTTTCTTTTTCGAAAATTTACAGTAATTTGAACGCTTACTTCGATCCTGAAATTATTTGTCTAGTTTCATCAATTTTTAACACGAATATTAAACATTTTTAATACTACGTTTATCTTTCATTCTGTTTCTTTATTTTCTTTTAATTGAACAATTTCCAAGAAAATGTATATTGTAATGTTTAAACTCGAATGATTTTCATGTGTGTCATCGTTGGGAGAAACAATTTTTTCGTTATTCCCAGAAAATTTTAGGGTAAACTTATGGAAGGTTTATGTTGTATTATTTATTTTTCTTTAAAGTACAAAATAAATATGTTTTAATTAAGTTAGAAAAAATCAATCGATCACACTAGCAAAAATATCGTTTATCTTATATCAAACTATTCGACGATTGATCTAAGAAAGAATACAACGAAGATTCAAATTGTTATAAAATATTTTTAATTAAATCGACGTTATATCAATTCGATTCATACTGATCTTATCCTTTCAAAGAGAATTTAAATTGTGCTTTATACAAATCAAATGACTATTTTCGATACTTGTTATTTAATATTATTTCCTTTTTTTTTCTTCCTATTTTCATTTCCCTGCTGGAAGCAATTGCAAAGAGATATTGGATGTTTTTGATAGAAATATTTATTGCGTATTGAAAACGATAGATATAAAACATTGCAAAAAACATCATTCAATGCTATCGTATTTCTGCTTCTTTGTTACGAACGAACGATTTAAAATATTGCTCGAACTTTTTTTCCAGAAAGGGAGAGAGGGGTCTTTAACTGCTTAATACCCCGTCCAAGATTATATTCACCGACGTTTATTAAATCGAATTCCCTCCCCCCCTCTCCCCTCCACCACCCCAATCCTTTTTAACGCTAATGCTAATGCTAATGCTAATATAATCGCAATGCGGCCACGGTTGCGGTACTATATATGTATAATGTTTACCAGCTACCTTGCGAAAGTTAATATCGTATAAGGGTTCGCACGATAGCCGATATTTAAAAAAATATATCGAAAGATCGCACAGATTTGGTAATTGCTGTCACCATCTAATTTTTCATTTAATCATTTGAAATTTTGTTTCGTCGCTTAATTAACATTCTCCTTGAACGTAACGATCTTCTTCTCCTTCTTCTTGGAATGAGTTAAAAATAATTTCTTTCGTTTGCGAAAGCTCGTTGGGGTCTCGTTTGGCTTTTGCAACTTTCTTTTCTTTGCTATTTTTTTTTTTTAATTTTTTAATTCTTTTTTTTGCTTTGAGCAAGGTTCAAAGTTTTCTTTTTTATCAATCGACGATCAAATAATACATATGCAAATATATTTTTATACATCTCTTATAGTATCGATGGGCGACATTTATTTTCGAGGATTCATCGTTTTGAGAAAAAAAAAATGATATTTATAAAAGAGAATAGGCGAGATTTTATTAACGACGCGTATCTTTCTTTCCCTTGATATTTTCGTTTTTTTTTGTTATCACGTTTGTTTCTTTTTTTTTTGTTCTCTTTGTTTTGTTTTTTTGTTGTTGTTTTAACTCTTTCACAATCGGCACATTCATCCACCATAAGCTGCATATCGTAACGGTGCAGCAACAAACGCGAGATAGAGTTCTTGACACAAATACGGCGACCCTGAAGAGTACATAGTACGTAGGTGATAAACACCCTTAATAATAATGGCACGACACGATACGCGACGGTAGTAGTAGCTTTCTTTTGCGATCGATACTTTATAAGCGTTTTTATTTTTTATTTTAAAGAACTTTCTTATAGCCGAAAAAAATAAAAAAACGAAAGATTCTGTTTCAATTAACGAACAATTTCTTGAGGCTACTTATCGCATTTTATTTTAACCCCCTCCCTTCTCCCACCCCCGATTTTTATTACCATATTTTGAAAATATCGATCGACCTTTCAAATAAGTGGTTAAAGCGATTTTCAAATCAAAGCTGTGAACGATGATACGTGACAATGCGTTTTTCCTGGTTTTTTTTCTTCCCCGCCCCCCGTAGAAAAAATCTCTATCGACGTTAATAAACGAAATAAACGCATAACACCTTTTTGAGTGACGTTTTATCAACGACCTCGTTCACTCGGGAAAAACAACGTTGTTCGTTTAGTGAAAAGAAACTCTGGACTATCATATACACCCATTTTTTTTCCCTTTCTCGCGTGACTAATAAAAATATGTTGGTCCTTGAAATTGACTTTATGACTGGTATCAACGTAAATCAATTAATACGTTAAAGTAGCTTTTTCACGAATGCTTTTACCACCCATTTATTATTCTTTGCCGTTATTCACTCTTTTTTTGGTTTGTTTTGTTTTATTACTGTTATTATACAGCTATTCTTCTTTTTTTACCTTTCTTCTTTCACATTTTGTTATTGTTGTTTTTTTATTCTTTTTTAACATCACAGAAACAAGTACCATAAAAGTAAATTAGATCTCGATGATACTTTCAATAAATTGTCAATGAATAACACCCTTAATAATGGCACGAAACAACAGGGGGTCAGTTTTCTTTCACGATCGATACTCTACTGCAAGGGTTTTATTTTCAAGAATTTTCTTATCGTAGGAAAAGAAAGAAATGAGATTTAACGTACAATCATCGTCTCATATGAGTTTTATATTTTTTTTCTTTTTCCTATTTCGATTCATATTTTAAAATATCGTTCAACGACATATCGCGTAGGACTTAAAACGATTTTACAAATCAAAAATAAAACGAAATAACTTCAACTTTTTCTTCTTTTGTCGAATTTTTCTTTTTTAAGAGTCACCATCTCAAACGTTAATAAATGAAATAAATCCGTTGAATGACGTATTTTTATTTCTTTCGTTTTATCTTACATTGGATATTCGAGAAATGGGAATAGAAAAATCACGTCAGAGACTTAGAATTTACTTCGCACGCTCAACTTACAATAGAATAACAGGATGTGACGTTTTGAGATTCACATATCACGTAAAATAATGAGATCTTTGAAGATTTATCGTAGGAAAATTTTTCATAGTAACGGTACATGGATTACGTTTGTAATTTACGAGTTGTAACATTTTCGGCATACGCACAGGAATCGTTATTTTACTAGTTAGTTATACGCTCATGGTACAAAACTTCGTTGGTGGTATCGTTTCTTCTTTCTTCGAAACTTTATCGTTTCTACGA